ACACACACACACAGACAACCTCTCGTCAATATGCGTTTTTCGCATTGCACTGCTGCAAAAAAAGCATAAAAAATTATCAGCGAAGAAAAAATTTACTAACTAAAAAAATACACCCCCAAGAATGAAATAATGCGAAAAAAAAACATGCATTACTTATAAAACATCACTTAATACGGAAATCCCAAAAAACCGGAACTAATATAACCTAGACTCACTGCTAATTAAGCACTTGACAGCTATGCAGGGATTGTCCAGATACTTGTCGATATTCCGCAACCAAAAATAATCACCAGGTGTTAGGTGCGAAGGAAGTGGGGCGGAGGAGGGTGAGGAGGGGCGGGAGAGGAAGGGGGAGGGGGAGGGAGTAAATTTTTATCACTACAAAAATAATATCAGAAAAGTTGATGGAAAAGTTTTTAAGATTTTTAAGCTTTTTTTGTAGTGATATTTATCACTACAAAAAAAGCTTAAAAATCTTAAAAACTTTTCCATCAAGTTTTTCTTTCAAGAAATTTCAATTTTTTTGGCGGTGTTGGCAACTTTTGGTAATTCTGCACCATGCGAGAAAGCAAAATTCGATGGGCAGAGCATGTTGCTCGCTTTGCCGACAAGCAGCGGATGTCGCGCATTAGTGATTAGTACCCATGAGAAAGTAAATAACCAAGAATAGGCAGCGGGTACCAGCTGAAGGTGTGCAGCCAAGGAACGAAGAGGAGTCTGGCATAGCTGTCACCAAAGTGTGGGAGAGTCCCAGCAAAATCACTACATGGGATACTACGCAATTTGATAACCTGGGTGATCTTGTTATATAGAACTGTAAATACTTGGAACTGGCTCTGTCGCTATTCCGTCCATTTAAGGGCTGTTTTTGCTCGATCGAAAGCTCGTTCATGCTATCCTTCCCTGCGTCAGTCACCTTGAAATGTACTCCACAGGAAAATGGTTGGAAATTACATATTATAAGGTACAGGTACGTTTGCAGTCTATGTTTCATCCCTCAGCCGTAAACACAAGCGGAAAATACGATACAACTAGGAGTGGGAATAAATGTCAGCCTTTCTACAGCCCAAACAGCAACGCCAACTGCCACTGCACCGAATGGAATTTGCATAAATGGAAAGTTCATTTTAATACCGCAAAAAACTCGTAAAAAATATTCAACGCAAAAATTACCTGGGCAAATTAGCACTGGATGTAGAAGGTGGACAAAATGGGGCATTGACGGTATTTCGTATGTTTGCCGCCGCCGCTGCTGCTGCTGCTGCTGCGGCCGCTGCATTTGCAGCACTGTTTTGCGAAGATACCTGCGCACTACCGCTATGTGCTGCTGCTGATGCGGCTGGCTGTGGCGTAGTACGGTGTTCTTTTTTCAATATATCATGCGCAATTTTGATATGCATAGCACACCATCGTCCTTGTTTTGTCTGCAAAAAGAACATTCAAAAAAAAAAAAAAACAAATTTTTTTGAAAATATATAATAATCATATAATTCAGTGATAAACTGTTAGGGTCAAGCAGAAATGGACGGGGAGTAAATGAAGACAAGAAGAGGCTTGAACGGGTTCACAGGAGCTAAGGAAAGAATGAGGTAAGACGTTTCGATCACGATGTAAAATACAACTTAATTGTCCAGGAAGAAAAGCAAATTTTCGTGCTTACATGATAAAATGGCGATTTTAATTTTCCCTGGTGCGGACCGCTATTTGTCTAAGAATTCATACTGTGACTACCCGTTAGCTCGGCATCTAGAACCCGGGTACATCATATTTTTCCAAAGCATGCATTCGGACCAAAACACACTTTCGTCTCTTACACAGCAAACACATGAGCATGCTCAAAAAGCTAATCCACTCCGACCCCATCCCGACCTCGACGGGGCCAGCCAATCCTGAAAATCCACTTTCAACGGTTCTTTCTTCCATAATCTGAGGCTAAAATCGGCTAATGCTAACATTCCTGGCATTCCACTGCCCCAGCGTTATCAGTAGGAATGATCAAAAGGAGCTCTACTGAGGATTAGTTCTTATCAATGGGCCACGTATGCGTCACGGGCACTCAGCAGCTTGGTGCCACCATTTGACAGCCTCCTGCAAGGAACTAAACATTTTCCGTTGACCACTGAACAGGAAAAGCGAAGGAGCGCAAAACGTCACTTTGCAAAACCTGTCGACTAAGGGATGAAATACAGCAGACCGCATCCCTTAGCACCTAATTAAACATATAACTCGCAACTCTCATGCCTCCCATCTTTTACACGTTACTCAAGAACTCCAAACAAACTACATATGTTAACACATAGAAGAATTCAGGCCCCTGTCCTGTTCCGGTCTCCTAGCCAGCGACATTCATTGTTTGTATCTCTAAAATTTCTACAATAATTAATCAATCCGCGGGAGAACAGTGCACACAGATATATGAGTTAACAAAGGAATTCCCTATGCCGAATGAAAAACGAGTGTGCAACAAACGGTGCGGGAAAAATGCCAAATTTAACCGGTAAGCAAACAGAATTCAGTAAAAGAGAGGACATTTGCGATGATAAGCGTTTTTCGCGATCATAAGCGTTTTTCTTATCAATGTTTGCTTTAGGAACTAAAAAAAACATCTTTTTTTTCAAGCACTTTTTTGTTTACAGATGGATAGTTCTTTTTTCCCCTGCCACAATCCTCTGGCGCTGCTGAAGCTGTTGATGATAAGGACCTGCTGAATGTTAAATAAAAGCAAAGTATGCTGTTGCGACCAAAAACTATAAGACATTCTCAAAAGAAGACAGTGGAAAGTAATAATATATTGATGAGGCTTTCCTATGGTGCCGAAATGAGATGTATGCAATTTAATGAAGCGAAGCGTCTTAACCTCAGTTTAAACTGTTTCTTTTTTCATGTACACTACATATAGTTAGCTGGCTCGTATATATATACACGTACATATTTATATGTATATATATATGTATTTATATATATATATGTATATATATATATATATGTACATATATACGTATACATATGTAAAAGGAGAAAGATCCAGCTGAGAATGTGTTGTAGGAATTTTAGAGATATACACAACGAATATCCCTGGCTAGGAGACTGGAAGACGAGGGCCTGAAACCCTCTATGTGTTAACATATGCAAATTGCTTGTTGTTGCTGGCCCACCGTGGAGAACAATACAGTCAAATTTTTATAATTAATGGAAGCACTGGAAGTGCTATTTAGACCTCCCATACAGGTATGCCTGTATGTACTGTAACTTGGTAGCCTGCCCGTGTAAATACAAACAACAGAATAGGTGCGAAATGGGATGAGAATCATCAGCATAGTGCAAGTTACGGACCATTAAGCATACTGGAAATATCAAAGTCTGTAAAACCTGTCGTTTTGTTGTACATACCACAGGTTTCAGCCTTTAATATTTCCAATATGCTTCGTGACTAGCTAATATCAATTCCTTTTAAATACTTTTTATAATTATTTGCTTGTATATAGTATATATCAAAGTCAAAAATTACAACTTACTTTCACCGGTAATTGTTGCGCAGCGGCGGTTGGAAGTGCACGTCCAAGCAATGCAGTACTAGCAAGTTGCGATCCCAATGCAGTGCCGGGTGGAAACTGTATGCAACTCAACGATGGTGGGGCTATAGCTGATGCTGTTGCAGAGGATTGGCCTGCGGCCACTGCTAGTGATACTGGAGGCATGGAACCTTGAGCAAGTGACATCGACTGAAATAAAATCCACATAATGAGAAGACGAACGATTTCTTAAAAACAAGACTCCAAATTTCACTTCGGAAAATATCCCGGTTGATTTCCCGCGCCATCATCCCAAGTCTATTCGCCCTGTTTCTCACATGACCTTAACAAAGTACAGACAAAAAGCAAAGAGTAGGTTCAAAAGGTTGCTCGTTTGTCCTTTTAAAAATTACATTTTGTTTTTTAAAAAAGAGAATTTTTGAAAAGCTGCATTTCCCCGAAGAAATTTTATTTTTTTAAAATTCCATTTCCCGAGAAAAGCTCTTTTATTTCTCTGCCCTATTTTCTGAAATACCAATTTTCACAAATTTTTTTGAACGAAACCTTCGGGACGCTGTATTTTTTTATTCAAAATCTACTACACTAGAGATACAATTTCTATCATCATCTCCGGTTTCGCTCTGTTTCCAAAACACAAATAAAAAGAGCAATTTTTCAAAAAAAAAAAAAAAA